AGTTATTAATTAGGTTTGAGGCCTAATGAGGGAGGAGGAGAAATGGAAAAGCTTGAGTTTGGGATGAATAATGTCAATGTACCAGTTCCAAAAAAAAAAAAAAAAAAATGTCCATGTAAGTGTCCTATCAATTATGCAGAGAGAGAGAGAGAGAGAGAGAGAGAGAATGTTCTGCTGCAAAATGCCATTTTGATGATTTTTATCTTTTTTGATTTTTTCTATGCCCGTGAAGTTGAGGGCTGTGTTTGGTTTGTTGCTTGATTTCAGCTTGTTTAAGAGGGTATTGGAGATTTGCTTATTTATTTTATTTTTTTGACGTTTTATAAAAATATATGTAGAAATATAAAGAGATGATATACTAATTTATAGTAGTGGGTGTTTGGAATTTGCTTACTTTTTTAATTTTTTAATTTTTTAATTTTTTATAAAAATATATATAGAAATGTAAAATGGTGTAATTTTTGCTTATTGGCTTTTTTATAATGTTCCCAAACTTAAGCCTAAATTTGGGTAAATTACTCATCTCTCTTAAAATTTTGAGAAAATACAAATTGTATTACAATTTAAAAATAATTATGTCGATTTTTTTAATATAATTAAATAGGTTAGAATTAATGTAAATAGTGTAAACACACAAATAAATGAAAAAATATATATATTTTAATATAGAAGAGATGAATATAAAATTTTCATCTATATAACTGAGGATTTGTTTGAGAAAAACTTTTTTATCCTTAATTTTTGGCTAATTTAGCCTGACTAAATTAGCTCCGTTTAGGAAAAAAAAAATTTGATAGAAAAAGTAAAATGTTTATGATTTAGATGTGAAATTTTGTTTTATTAATTTATTTAGTCTATCTTATTTTTTTGTACTTTTTAGTCCCACCTAAACCCAACTCATTTGCCAAACGAGGACTAACAAATTATTGATAAAAATTGAGTTAATTGTAATTTGAGTTAAGATGTTAAGATTGTGTTTGAATTATGGATTCGGAGTGAAATTTGAAAAGGAAAAGAAAAAAAAATATGAACAATATATGAAATATAATTATATTTTATTAACATTTTATCCATTTTTTTTCCTTTCTCTTTTCAAATTTTTATTTGAATCCAAGATCCAAACACAAAGATCAAATTTTTATGGTTTGAATGTAATATTTTGTTCTATTAGTTTATTTAGCTTATATTTTCTTTTTGTGTACTTTTTTAGTCCCAACTTAAACCCAACTAATTTGCCAAATGAGGACTAACAAATTATTGATAAAAATTAAGTGTAATTTAAATTAAAATGTTAAGGCTGTGTTTAGATTATGGATTTGGAGTGGAATTTGAAAAGAAAGAGAAAAAAAATGTGTGAACGGTATATGAAATATAGTTATATTTTATTTACATTTTATCTATTTTTCTCCTTTCTTTTTTTTTTAAATTTTTATCAAAATTAAGTGTAATTTAAATTAAAATGTTAAGGCTGTGTTTAGATTATGGATTTGGAGTGGAATTTGAAAAGAAAGAGAAAAAAAATGTGTGAACGGTATATGAAATATAGTTATATTTTATTTACATTTTATCTATTTTTCTCCTTTCTTTTTTTTTTTAAATTTTTATCTGAATCTATAATCCAAACACAATTTAAAAGAAATCATTATAATTATATCAAAATTATAAAATTTATTATGTTTTTTTAAAATTTCAAAAAAGTCAATATAATTTTCCCTCTAAATTTTCATGGGTTATTTTCATGGTGGGACCTTGAGGGGATGATTGTAACTTCGTAGAAATGGGGGTCTCACATAAGTTTATTTTTTGGAATATTTGATAACAACTTGTGAGGATAGTATATTTTAGGACAAATTACAAACATCCCCTTAAGGTTTGGTAAAAATACAAATTTTTCTTTGAAGTTTGAGAAATTATAAATTGTCCTCTGAGAGTCAAGTTTTCATAACAAATTAGAAAAAATTAGGGGAGAATCTATATGAAAATAAAAATCTCAAAGGATAATTTATTATGGAAATATAAACCTTAGGAACGGGATGTAATTTCTCAAATCTCAAGAGAAATCTATGTTTTTACCAAATCTCGAGGGGTTTGTAATTTACCCTATATTTTACGTGTCTTATATAAATTCTTTGTGCAAGTTGAAATATACAGTATGTAAGATGAAAAATGCTTGGGAGCACTAATTAGTGCTCCCACTAATTAGGTGACAGTGGGTCTCGCTATTAATGATGTGATGTTGGAGAATCTATATGAAAATAAAAATCTCAAAGGATAATTTATTATGGAAATATAAACCTTAGGAACGGGATGTAATTTCTCAAATCTCAAGAGAAATCTATGTTTTTACCAAATCTCGAGGGGTTGTAATTTACCCTATATTTTACGTGTCTTATATAAATTCTTTGTGCAAGTTGAAATATACAGTATGTAAGATATAAGGACTAATCACAATACTTCCAATCACCGCATGAACTTGATGACACCATGATCACTAACCCTAGCAGCCACGGTCAGCCACACTTCACCACTGATCACTACATCCATTCATCTTTCACTCTCATCACAACTCACTAAATATATTTTTTAATTTAAAATTTTATTTTATACCTTTAAACAAAAAAACAAATAGAAAACTACCAACATTAATAAACAATATTCTGAATTATCATGCCTAGAGTTCCCAACTTGAACTTATCTAGTTCAATCAATCAAAAAGATTATTTGGAGTTCAAATATGAATTTCACCATATTGTTCACATATATGAGACTTATCATAGATATTGTTTTTATGATTCAAATTAGGGTTTGGTTATGGTGTGCAACTTACACCTTACACCTTATACCTTAAACTTACACCTTACACTTACATCTTTTGTAAAAAATTAAACCTTACACTTACACCTTTTTTGAGGTTGCACACCATATGCAACCCACTTACACTTTACACCTTACACTTACACCTTACACTTACACCTTATACTTATACTTACACCTTACACTTACACTTTTTGTGTGAGTGGCACATGGTGTGCACTTGCACACTTAAGAAAACTCCAAAAACTAATTTATACCAATATGAACATTCACATTGCAACATGAAATAAAATTGAAAGAAAAAAAAAAGTGATTATTTCAATTGTTTAAAGGTAACGAATGATATGTGAACATTCACATCTTGCAAAATATATAATTATATCCATATCTATATTCCAACACTTATTTCTTAGACTTTCAAATAATGTGAAATGTGAACATTCACACTGATTGATAAAAAAATAGAAACAATGGCAACAATAGAATTAGAAATTAAAAAAAAAAAAAATTATCACCCACATCCCCATATTCATCATCATTTCTATCATTATCACTATCATTAATAATCTATACAATTTCATCATTTCATCAATCCAAATCATAGCAAAATCACTCTTGAAAAATACATAACAAAATTGATTGGACGTAAACAGAATTTCGACTTACAACAATAAAGAAATATAGAGTTTTGAATACAGAGCAATAATGGATGAACACATAATTTTAAACACAAAGTGACAATGGAGGAATACAAAATTTCAGCATAACAATGAATGAACATAATATTATTTCACCATGTGTAAACTTGAGTTTCTAAACACTACTAAATAGAGAGTTTCAAACCCTAGCACAATGAAACAATATCACAAATGTAAATGAAACTGATCAAAAAGAAAAAACGGAAATAATAGTAACTACCAAAATAGAGGTAGTAACAAAAAAGAAATGTATATATCCTTTTTCTATATAATATATGTCAATAGTAGACATAAATGTATAATGGGTCTGGCTTTGGTCCAGTCCGATGGGCTGTTGGGCTTGTGGGGGCCCACCATAGGTTTCGTTTTGAAAATCTGAACCGTTTAATATGTAGAACTCGTCGAGTACTATATACTTATGAAAAATCACGTTGATCGAATATCGATAGCTATGTGATCAAATCAGTTTTGTATAAAAAAATAGACGGTGAATAAATTAACGGTTGATAAAAAACTATTTTGATCACATAGCTATTGATATCCGATCAACGTAATTTTTCACAGGCATATAGTACTTGACGAGTTCTACACATTGAACGGTTCAGATTTTCAAAACGGGACCCGTGGTGAGCCCCCACGGGCCTAACTACACGGTCCAATTCGATGGTGGACTAGACCAAAGCCAGGCCCATGTATAATAATCCAACAAACAATACAAATTAGAAAAAAATGATCTCATGAAATAAAAATATAAATACATGAGACTAATTAAGTTATATTTTTCCTTGATAGACTTGTTAAATTAGAACACATCCAAATGAGATTTATCAATAAAAAACCCAAAAAAGTAAAATAATAAAATATAATTTTATAAATTATAAGGAAATCAAATTAAATTGAAATCAAATATTTTTATAAATAATTTCATTTAACAGATATTAGTTTCATTAAATTTAACTTATGAACAAAATTTTAATATTTTTTTTTATATAAATTTGTTATTTTTAGTTAATAGTGAAATTTTTTGACATAACACGTTAACATGACACGAATCAAACATAGACAGAAAATGACACAATATGATAATACAAAATAATAAATGAGTTGGGTTGGTGTTAAAGTAATTTTGACACGACACAAACACAACCCAACAACGCCCACCCCTAAATGCAACCACTAATCATGAGAGATATAGTCAAGATCTCGTTATACTATGGCCTCTTTTGGAAACCAGTTAAAAAGCAAAAGTCAACTTTTAACCTATTTTAAGTTACATTATTTTTCATATTTTTTACACTTTTTTTTTTTAAAAAAAAAAAAGACAAAAAGAAAGAAATCAACTTCTAACTATTTTCCTAAACCATGCAACATTTTTTTTTTCTAATTTAAATTGATATACTTACGGCGCACAAGCCTAAAAAATAACTACATCGAGATGTTCTTATAATCAAACACGTATTTTTCTTTTCTTTATCTATTTTCTTCCAATGAACCAAAAAAGCAACTCAGAATCATTTTATTAGTAAAACTATAATATTTTTCTACACTGATAAAATTAAAATGTATCACAAGCAATTGATCACGAACTGTTGGATAATTTAATTCTGCGATTAACCTCCTTTTCCAACTCATCAAGCCCTCCCACTTCCTCAAGTTCCTGCACCACCACACACAACAATATTCAACCTCATTCCTTCAATAAAATTTATAATTTAGGCCTCGTTTGTGACAGACTTTTTTAGCAACTTTTTAGTTTTTTATTAAAATGTGATGTAAAAAAAATTATTATGTTTAGAATATTTTTTGACTTTTTACGAAAAGATATACAAAAAGTAAAGAGAAAAAAGAATATTTAAATTTTTGGTATGAGTTGTAGACTTTTTGATTTTTTTAATAATTTTTTGAATTTTTAACTAAATCGATCGCTTCCCAAACGAGACGTTAATTTAACAAAACAAGGGTTCTATCAAAAAATCTTCTTCCGCTTTGCACACTGTAATAAAAATCTGAAAATATGATGGTGTAAGTGAGACTACATAGAACGAAGAAGAAAAATTCTAGATAGAAGATGTCATTATTGAACGAGTAAATAAATGAAAATAAACAAAGAACTAAAAATAGGAAGTAGAGGAGAGGATCACCGACCTTGGGTCCCAAGAACAGTCCATATGGGACTCCGTTGAACTTGTCTGAATGGTGGAGCTACAAAAACAGACATTCGAGTCAAAAAAGATCTTGGACGTTTAGATTCCATTACCCAAAAAATAATCATTAATTATTGCATTATACAAATAGTGTATGTATAGGCGTATGTATAGGTGTAGATGTATACCTGGTGAGCCGCGGCGACTCTTCGGAGGTAGGGTACGTTGGCAATGGGGCCCACCGGGAATCTTTTGTGAACGAGACCGTCGTGAACGAACATATAGGCCATCCCAAACACTGTAATTCCAAGACCCTGCAAACATCACACATAATAAAAAATCATTTACCCCGTGTAAATCTAATTCCTTTTTTATTTTCTACGACTCTGTTTAATTTAATCTATTAAATTAAAAATTAAAAAATTAATCATTTATATTAAAAAAGTAAAGATTTTTTATTTTATTTTATTTTCATTTTTTACATATCTTCTGATAAAAAAAAAGGTTAAAAAGTCATTCTCAATATATTAATTTTTTGAATAAATTACAAATACACATTTTGAGATTTGATTAAAATACGAATCGTACCCTGTGATTTTGAAAATTACATTTCACCCATGAGGTTTTTATTTTTATAACAAATCGTCTATTTTATTAATAAATTATCAAGTCAATTAACAATTTTTAATAATGATAAAAATATATTTCAATTAATAATTTAAGTAATTTTATTATTGTATATGAGAGCAATTATAAATTTTATTTTTTTAATTAATTCCGATAAAAAAAAAATTCTAATAAGGGGATATTTGTAATTTTTCAAATCACATGGAATAATCTATATTTTAAGCAAACCTCAAAAGTGTGTATTTGTAATTTACCCTATTTTTTTATCTCATACTTTCATTAAAAAATTAAAAAATTATTAAAATAACATGTTATCAGAAACTTTATGTTTGAGATGTTGGTTTGAGGCTATTTTAGCCAAAAAATAAAAAAAAAAATAGACTAATTAATAAGACAAAATGTCACATCTAAACCATAATTATTTTATTTTTTATCTCACAAAAGTAAAAAAAAACTAAAAAACTCATCATAAAGGACATCTTTTAACCTTATGTTAAAATAGTCAAAAAATTAAAAAATTAAAAAATCAACTAATATCGTAAACGAAGGCTTAATTTACCTTTTGATATCTTTATAAAAAATTAGATAACAAAATAAAAAAAAATAATAAGATCTAAATAAATAAAAATCTCAAACCCTTTTAGCCATGGTTTTGCTAACATTTTAGAATTAAATAATCACAAAATGACAAAATAGTTTATATAATTCAATAAGACAAAATATTATTTTTTACCGATAATCATTACATTTTTTCTTTCACAAAAATAAAAAAAACTCCAAAACAAAAATCAAACGAGACTAAAAAAATCAAGCTAAAAAATTCCTAACACAAAAAGACTAACTATAATATTGAGATTTGATTAAAATACGAATCGTACCCTGTGATTTTGAAAATTACATTTCACCCATGAGGTTTTTATTTTTATAACAAATCGTCTATTTTATTAATAAATTATCAAGTCAATTAACAATTTTTAATAATGATAAAAATATATTTCAATTAATAATTTAAGTAATTTTATTATTGTATATGAGAGCAATTATAAATTTTATTTTTTTAATTAATTCCGATAAAAAAAAATTCTAATAAGGGGATATTTGTAATTTTTCAAATCACATGGAACAATCTATATTTTAAGCAAACCTCAAAAGTGTGTATTTGTAATTTACCCTATTTTTTTATCTCATATTTTCATTAAAAAATTAAAAAATTATTAAAATAACATGTTATCAGAAACTTTATGTTTGAGATGTTGGTTTGAGGCTATTTTAGCCAAAAAATAAAAAAAAAAATAGACTAATTAATAAGACAAAATGTCACATCTAAACCATAATTATTTTATTTTTTATCTCACAAAAGTAAAAAAAAACTAAAAAACTCATCATAAAGGACATCTTTTAACCTTATGTTAAAATAGTCAAAAAATTAAAAAATTAAAAAATCAACTAATATCGTAAACGAAGGCTTAATTTACCTTTTGATATCTTTATAAAAAATTAGATAACAAAATAAAAAAAAATAATAAGATCTAAATAAATAAAAATCTCAAACCCTTTTAGCCATGGTTTTGCTAACATTTTAGAATTAAATAATCACAAAATGACAAAATAGTTTATATAATTCAATAAGACAAAATATTATTTTTTACCGATAATCATTACATTTTTTCTTTCACAAAAATAAAAAAAACTCCAAAACAAAAATCAAACGAGACTAAAAAAATCAAGCTAAAAAATTCAAATTAAAAAAGTCCTAACACAAAAAAATTAACTAAAAAAATCAATGCCTAACGAACCCTTAACAACGTGTGTTAATAAAGAAAATAAAATATTATAAATTTCAAATTTTTTATTAAATAAATGGTCATATATTTTTTATAAGTGTAAAATATGATCCGTATAAAATATTTAATTATTTATTTAATAAAAAATTTGATATCTCTAAATAAAGAAATGGATTGACTGATATTCAGGCAGTAATTGAGAGAGAGAGAGAGAGACAGACATGGGAGATACTAGAGAGAGAAAAAGTTTTACTATATACGTATACAGAGAGAGAGAGAGTGACAGAGAGAGAGAAAGAGAGAAGAGAAGTATACAGCTCCGAAACAGAGACCAGGAACAAGGCCTTTGTGGAAGAAACCGTAGGAGAGGAGGGCAATGGCAGGAACGGCGTTTATAATGGCAAAGACGTCGTTCAGCTCAAAGGGTCCTTCTCTTGGTTTATGGTGAGACTGCAATTAAAATTGTTGATCAGAATTGAGAAACCTGTATCTCACATAATCAACAACTCTCAAAATCCTCCATCGGAAACCTGAGAAAATCGAGGATAAGAAATCAAAAACCAACCTCGTGCATATGCCATAACGAAGCGTGCCAGAGCGCCCTGTGAGCCCATCTCGCCCAAAACTCCATCCCCACCTGGAAATTCCAACAATAACCCCCAATTCTATTAAGAAAAAATCAATCATACCAACAACAACTCTTCTTCAAATCTGACTACTTACAGCAGCGCCCACTGAGAGAGCAAATGTACCAAACATCTCCGAGAAGGGGACCTCTCCACCCTAAAACCACAAAAACAGCTCTAATTTATTCTCAGTTTGTTTACATGGAAACGTGTTTCCTGAGAAAATGTTTAAAAAGAGAGAATACCTCCATTTGCCAAGAAAATCGATAATAAACAGCGAAGACCGCCATGGAAGTAATACCAAAACTAGACATGACTGCGGCGACAAGGTAAGTAAATCGCTCTGAACTCTTCCTGGCAAGCTTCTCTGCCAAGCGTGCCGCCGAGATCTGTTTCTCAATTTCCTCATGCTCACCCTCCTCTTCGTTAGTTTCAACTTGGGTATTCAATTTCTTGTCCTCTACCACGAAACAGACCGTCGTCGTTGTCTTCCGACCAGACCGAAGCATCGTATCGAACCGGCGAATTGGCAAAGAGAATAGATAAGTGGGAGTGATGACGGAATTGGGTTTTGGACAGAGGAATGGGTTTCGGCCCAAACGGAAGGACCGAGAGCTTGGGCAGACAGAAAATCTGGCCGCCATGGACGGTGGAGGTCGTAGTTTGGCAAGCTCAGATAGAGGAGAGAAGAAGAAGAAGAAAGAAGATTTTTGAGGGGAGGGAGGTGGGTTGGGGGAGATTGAAGTGGGGCTTGGTATACGTGTGGGTGTGTGAATGTTAAGTTTGGCCGGGGGTTCAATGCACGTAGACCACATGTTCTCTTCCAATTAAATACTGGTACAACATACTAAAACCAAAACAAAAAAGCTAAACACAACAAAATGGTCCTAGCTGTCCGCAGAATCACATGATCGCCATTGATTTAAAAAATAATAAAAAATAATAATGAAATATAATGTTGTCTCGTTTGTAACATGTTATTTTATTAATTTTTTAATTTTTTTATATTAAAATATAAGATAAAAAAATTAATTATTTAATTTTTTTTTTATAAAAATATATGTAAAAAGTAGAGAGATTTTTTTTTTAGACTATTTTATATAGTTTAACTTTTTAATTTTTTTAATGACTTTTATTGAATGTTGCTAAGAGTTGTTTTGGGAATACAAGCTGCTTTTTGACTTCTAATTTATTATGAGTCTCATCATCCTTCATATATTTTTTTATATGTTTTTAAAAATAAATAAATAAAAAAATTAACTTCTAATTATCTTTTCAAAACACTCCTAAATAAGGCCTTATTAACTATAATGGTATATGGTGTCATTTGTCAATAAAAAATAATAAATATATTAAGTCGACAAAGCATGTGTATCACAAATTCAATAATCAGTTGTGCTACGTAGTCCGAAACACCTGGGCTTGAATGGCCCTTTTTTTTTTTTCCCTTGCCTTTCTACTCAGTTTCCTCTCCTCTTTCTCTCAAACAGAATTCCACAATCCAAAACTAAGATCCAAAATCAAAAACAAAATCAGAATCTAAATCAAAATCAAAATAAAAAAAAAAACCCAAATCTAAACAGATATTCCAAATATACACAAATCAAAATCAAAATCAAAATAAAAATCTAATATCAAAATAAAAAACAGAGAAAGAAGGAGAAGAGCAGAGGAAGAAAGAAGAAGAAAACAGAACAAGAAGGAGATGAGGAAGAAACAGAGATCTATGTATATACAGATCTATACAGCCCATCGTTCCTCCAGCCTATCGTCTCCGTCATCGCCCATCGTCTCCGTCTTTCTTCCTCCAGCCCATCGCCTCTCTTCCTCCCTTTTCTCTTTTCCCTCTTCCCTCTTCTCTCTTCCCCGTTTCAGTGAGAAGAAAGAGATGAGAATATATCTATATATTAAAAACGACGTCATTTTGAATTTCGAGGCAATCAAGCCTCGAAATTTCGAGCCCTCAAGTATTATTCTTTAACAATATCGTAGTTCTTACAAAAAATTAAGATCGTTGATTAGGTGATGATATTGCCACATGATAACATTACTAGTACATTCTATATTTATTCTATTGAGTGATGTTAGGAAAATACTTGAGACCTCCAAAAAGAAAAAAATAAAAATAAAATAAAAAACTCACAATTTGAATAATGTGGTATGATAGGTTTCCACTTTGTGGATCTATAACACTACTCTCCTGTGTGAATGTTAGTTGTCAGTATTGTATTTAGATATAAATGAACAATAAATATAGAAAGAGGAGATTTATTAGGAAATCTTTTTCAAGTATTTATATATCAATTAGTACATAACATATTCTTATATTTTAATAAGTCCTACTAATATATCACCCGTGTTATGCACAGGCTTAAACAAATAATTAACAATGAATTTTGAAATTAAATAATTACATATAATGTAACACCCCAAAATAAATAACACGAAACCCGTTTCATAATCATGCGTACAATTGATCAACAACCTAAAATATTCCATTTCATTATACCTTTGATCATTAAGAAAAGTACATATGCACTATATATTCATAATTCCAACAATCTGAATCTATAGCATATAGCACTGAAACATGATTACAATAAAGGTAAAAACAAAATAATTAAATGCCTTAATGGCCATAACTTTCCAAGTCGATTCTTGGGTACAACAAAATGAGTTTAAACCCAATACAAGTAAAACCCGTGGCTTAAACAAAAATATTTACATCAACAAACAAAAAGGAAGCCTCTAGCTCCAAGTCCTCCCAAGCTACGTCCTTGGTGGAGGCATATCATCAATATCTAAAAGTTGTTTCCTACATAGGGTGAGCCACAACCCAGTAGAGATACTCTAACACAATATATGTATCTTAGCAAAATTATAAGGTGAATACACAATGCATGCCATTTTCCAAACATTTCTCATTTTTTTCCATATCAAAACAATGCAATGTCAGATTATCTATCAATTCATGAAAATAATTCTTTTATACAGAAAACAGAGCAGTGGATACAACACACTAGCAATCTTTAGGTACGTATCTGCTAGTAGTCTATACAAACACTACAAAAGCCATTTTACCAGTACTAACTAGAAGGATCAACACCTAATCGCGTGAATTTCTAGACACACAGGCCAACATCATAACTACAACCACACCCGCTAATCAGATTTACCAAGGTATTCACCCATTTTTTTCAAAAACCAATACATTTACAATGTTCAACGTGTAATGACGCTTAATGCACAATGGGTGAGAAATTAGTTTCAATTTAATCTAATCTTCATGCAATGCCTACAACAATCAAGACTATCCTTCACCTATAGCCCAAAACATATATCTATATACATTAGATAAATTCTAATTAAAAGATACAATTTCATCATTTACAATGGGAGTGATATTACATATCCACCTCTACCATCTTCATCAATACAACCATTATTCCAATTTCATGATATCCAACATCATTTTCCATTTTCCTTTCGCAATTTCAAATATCCAAAATTAAGGCAAAACCCCCATTTATTTATATTAATCAATTTAAAGAAAAGATTTCCATTATTTCAACACAGCTAATCCATAACCATCTTTCCACAACCATTTTCAAGAATCAATTTGTAAAACCCCTCTTTTGATACCAAATCAAATCTTAGGTTCTACCAAAAATTTCCAAATAAATAACCCTTTTCAAAGAGAAAATAATTAAGCTAGAAATCATATAAAATAGTCAAAGAAACCCCAACCTCAAAGTAGAAGACGAGAAGAAACAATGGGTAGAACTTGATGGTGTCAAAAATACTAAATGCTCCAATTAAAATGAAGCCCTTGATGTGCTCAACATTTTTCTCCAAAGGACTAGGGTGAGGAAATCAACGGCTTGAGAGTATTTGGAACTAGAGTTCAAGAACTAGAGAGAGAGTGAGACAATCTAGGGTTTTCAAATATTTAGAGAGAGAGAGAGGTGAAAAAGTGACTGAAAAAGGTTGCCTCTTGGACTGATGTATGCACAGACCGCTTGAGCGATCAAAACATTGCTGGAACGACAAACACAAAATTAAGACATCGCTCGAGTGACCAAAACGACCACTCAAGCACACAATGACCCCCTCTCAGTAGTTCAAACCTGTAAAAGTTTGCTTGAGCGCAAGAAAGACCGCTCAAGCGAAGATATCAAACTCTCAGTAGTTTTGTAGACTGTAAAAGACCGCACAAGTGTAGAAATGGTGGCTCGAGCATACAAGCAAAATTCTGAGCAACAACTCTTTGAAAAACTAACTTTTCAGCCTGTTTCAAACACAACCAAAAATCCCAATAGCCAAACGCAACAAACAACAAGATGGAAATGAGCTGAACAACAATTAAAGTCACGGGTTCTCAAATCCAAAAATAATTAAAAGGGTCGGGTTGAAACCAGAATCATTATAATCTCCCCCATTAAGGAATTTTGTCCCCGAAAGTTAAATTCAACATTCATTAAAGAAAAGTGAAACAATTCCCATACATCCAATTTGTAACAAGGATACACCAAATCTTTCAACACTAACTATCATCGTCCAACTTCCCCAAAACATATACAATGTTCATACATTACAACATTTACCAATTTTTTTACATAAGTTTCAAACATCAACAAATAGGTCTAGATACTTTTTATGGACTTCCGTCTTACGCTCCCAAGTCGCCTCTTCAACCCCGTGGTGTGGCCACAACACTTTAACCAATGGGATAGTCTTGCCTTGCAAGACTTGGTCCCGTGAGTCTAAAATCTGTACTGGTCTCTCCTTATATGAGACATCCTCATCTACCTCTAACTCGGTCCAATCCAATACATAAGAAAGATCAGGCTCATATTTTTTAAGCATACAAATATAGAGCACGTCGTGAACCCAGAAAGTTGGGGCGACAAGGTCAAATGATAAGCTACCTCTCCGATTCGCTCTAAAATCTTAAAAGGTCTAATAAATCTAGAAGACAACTTTTCACTCTTCCCAAAACTCAACAAACCTCGCCTCAATGATATCTTCAAAAACATGTGATCTCCTATCTTAAAAGACAACAATCTCCTCCTACAGTCAACATAGCTCTTCTAGCGACTTTGAGCCAAAGCCAACCTCTTACGGATAAGCGCGACTTTCTCAGTCATTTCTCGAACTAGTTCAGGACCTAACATAGGTGAGCCACCCACCTCGGCCCAACACACTAGAGATCTACAGGGTCGGTCATACAGGGCCTCAAACGGTGCCATACCAATACTTGTTTGAAAACTGTTGTTATAGGCAAACTCCACTAAAGGTAAATGCCTCTCCCATGACCCTTTAAAATCAAGAACGTAAACCCCAAAGCATATTCTCTAAGATTTGAATGGTTCGCTCGGACTGCTCGTCAGTCTGAGGATGATAAGCGGTGCTAAATGTCAATGTAGTGTCCAAGGCATTCTGTAGGCTCTGCCATAATCGAGCCATAAAATGAGGATCTTTATCCGAGACAATAGTCACAGAGACCCCATGAAGTTGAACTATGTCCCTAACATAAAGGTCGGCAAGATAATCTACTGACTTAGTTAACCTGTTAACTATCACCCACACAGCGTCACTACCCCGTTGAGTCATCGGAAGACCCACAACAAAATTCATCGTGACATGCTCCCACTTCCATGCAGCTATAGGTAAGGGTTGTAACAAACTCGTTGGTCGCTGATGCTCAGCCTTCACTTGTTGACAAGTAAGGCACTTTTAAAACAAAGAAGGCTACATCTCTCTTCATCCCTCTCCACCAAAACTGGCAGCTAAGGTCGTGGTACATC